ATTCCTCTGGCACGAGGAATCGGTACCATGCCACACAAACAGGAGAACCTAGTCATGGCTGTCAGACAATTTCTGCGACCACATCACTCCTTACATCTGGCCAACTAACTCCCCGGACTGCAACCCCCCTTGATTATTATGTGTGGGCTGCAGTTGAGCGAGAGACCAACAAAACTCTTTGTAACACCAAAGATGAACTGAAGGCAAGGATTATGGCAGCATTCACCAACTTAAACAAGGAGACCGTCCCGAAGAGTTGCAGGAGATTCGGAAGTCATCTGGAGGCCGTAGTTGAAGCCAATGGCGATTTTATTGAATAAATTTACTCTTTAGTATTTAAAAATATGTTTGTGTAATTTTGATAAATATATCTGTTAAAATGAGTGATATTTTCACTTTTCCCAATTTAGACGATAATTTATCCATCGCACCCTATATATATATATATATATATATATAATTCAAATATTAAACAACAATTTATATATCACAACCTGTATCTATATATATAAACTACTAGGCTTTATCTGTCTGTCTGTTTGTTATAAAACTCCTCCTAGGGTTTTGGCGATAGACCCTCATAACCATGTATATTCTGAAGCTACATTACCCAGGGTACTTGGATAAGTATATTTCACTTTGATCAAAGGAAGTCTCTAAAGGGGGAGGGCACAAGCACCCACTGAAATTTGTTTTCCTTTGATTTAAATTTAATTTAAATTAGAACAAAGGAATGATTCCTATCCAAAATCTAGAAGGAAAAATCCAGAAGATGGAGGTCATGTCGGCCATATCATTTTGATCAAAGGAGGCCCCAGGTTGGGGTAACCACCCAACTGATTTTATTTTCTCATTGATATAGATTTAAATTAAATTTAAATAAGGGAATGACTGCTAGACATGTTGGATAAGTATATTTCATTTTGATCAAAGGGGTTACTGGGGGGGGCATAAACATCCCTACCCACCCACTGAAAACTGTTTTCCTTTTAATTTAAATTATATTTAAATTTGAACAAGGGAATGATTCCTATCCAAAATATAGAAGGAGAAAGCCAGAAGATGGAGGTCATTGAATAATATTGAAATACATATTTTTCTCCACTAATGATAACAATGATTTAAAATCAACCATCGTTTTCTTACAAAAAAAAATGAGTGACATGCAGCAAGGCGTGGGTAATTCGGCTAGTATATATATCTTCTTCCCAACCTAATAATATTGTGACACGTTATATTAAACAGATGGGTTCAAACCATTTGATTATCCCTGCTTAAACAGCCTCGTTATCAATTTTTATGAATGACGAATACATTATATGTACCTAATTATTACGAAATGGTAATGGTTTATTTCTGGAGGCTAAATTAACTTATTTCAGTCCCGTTCTAACTTGGGCAACTACTGGTGGCGGGAATTGTCCCGCTTGTTGGCCGAGGCTTTGGTGGGCTTTTCACTGATGTCCGTGTTCAAAATGAGTTATCAGCTAGAATTTTGATTGTTGGTTTGCCAGACAGGTTAACAGCATCTTTCTGCAAAGAATATTACCGTTGCCCGGCATTTCTTTAAAGTAAGAAAAAAAGCCCTTGCTCCTACATGTCATCTAAATAAATACAAATCATAAAAATATACAAAGAATATCTTTGTAATATATATATCTATATATATATATATATATATATATATATATATATATATATATATATATTTTACAACGAATTTCTTCAGTCCTATTCAACCCCTCGTACAAAGATCAGATTTTCCGAAAGACGCATTATTTTTTTTGCCTGTCGATTGAAATAAGCCTATTCCTCATATGAGGTAATTTGGGATTTTTATATATATATATATATATATATATATATATATATATATTTGGTTGGATAATTGTGAGTTTGTGATCCTGGGTTTCACGATCGCAAAAAGCGTGAAACCCAGGGTCACAAACTCACATCTATCCAACTAAATATGTTAGCTCTATCTCTGATATTGAGCGCTTTCTAATAAGTACCGCGCATATAATATATAAATAATTATACATATATATATATTTATTTATATGCACTTTTCACACACACACACACACACACACACACACGCACACACACACACACACATATATATATATATGTATATATATGTAAGCAAATATATGGATATAAATCCGACAGTATGAAAGAAAAATACAGAAAAAAACAAAATTCTGAATATGCATTATTAATGTTAAAATAAAGTCGACGTCGGACGTTTCGGTCTATTTAAGACCATCATCATGGACATTTTCATTTAAACATAATTAACATTATAACTTATAACAATTTAACACAAAAGACGATGGACATAAGAACCCAACTAATTCAAACAGATAACTGAAATTTTATACAGATCAGCGTTCTGTTTAAATATGATCACGTAGTCGTCACGTGGGCGATGTTGTTAAGATGTATTCGAAGATGATTTCCAAAAAATTAAAATATCAAAAAGTCGAATGAAAAATTTTTATAAACAATTAAAGAAATCTCTTCCGTTGATGTTGGAATACGTAGTGATCAATTGGTTCTTATAAGAAGAGATTTCTTTAATTGTTTATAAAAATTTTTCATTCGACTTTTTGATATTTTTTAATTTGGAAAATCATCTTCAATACGTCTTAACAACATTTTGACGACTACGTGATCATATTTAAACAGAACGATCTGTATAAAATTTCAGTTATCTGTTTGAATTAGTTGGGCTCTTATGTCCATCGTCTTTTGTGTTAAATGTTAAAGTTATAATATTAATTATGTTTAAATGAAAATGTTGAAGATGGTCTTAAATAGACCGAAACGTCCGACGTCGACTTTATTTTAACATTAATAATGCATATTCAGAATTTTGTTTTTTGTTTTTTTTTCATATATATATATATATATATATATATATATATATATATATATATATATATATATATAAAGGGTGTTTCTATAACTTGGACCGATTTTAAAAGGAATTAACTTTAAGCCTCTAATGATTTTTTATTTTTTCTCTGACATTTGGCAGACATTTGGGCAATATTATTTTTCACTCATAATTAAATAAAATGATCCAATAGAGAAATAAATACAGTTTCACCAATAACACTGGTTTATTTACTGCCGACTTTGATCCGTCTTAATGAAACACGCTACATATATATATATATATATATATATATATAATTATTTTTAAATTTGCGAAGGAATCATATTTTTAAAAAATAAAAATAAATTCTTTTTTTTAAATTTAAAAAAGTAAAAAAATAGAAACTACTTAAAAAATAATTATAATTTAGGATCTACTTATGTATTGAGCACTGTTTTTTGTTTTTTGTTTGTATTATTAACCTAACGGTTTTTTCCTATTTTCCATATTTGCACACACACACACACACACACACACACACACACACATATATATATATTTATTACTTAAATTAACTATATCTATAAAAATAACGAAAAAACAGAATGAATATATATATATATATTCACTTTGTTTATACGTTATTTTATAGATACAGTTAATCATACTTGTTATAAAACCCAGGTTGTGTGTGTGTGTGTGTGTGTGTGTGTGTGTGTTATATTGGATAATTTCTAATTTTCAACCGATTTCAACAAAACTTCACTTTTTTTTTGGAGGTAGTGTTTTTATTGTCTTGCACACTTTTTCTTTTATTTTTACATTCAGAATGCTTTAAAAATTCCATTTACAAGACAATTGTTTATAATAAAATTCTATTCAATCGGTAGACTCATAATGATTGAAAACAATGTTTTTTTTGAGTTTGGGTTTGATCAATTCGTAAAAAAAAAAAAAAAAACTAATTAAGACATGCGTGTCCGTCAACCTTAAACAATAATCTTTGGCAATTTTATTTTTCAGTCATTATGATGGTCGATACTTGATCTATCTCTTATTGTTACATGAAGGCAACGCCGGGTTCTACCTAATATATATATATATATATATATATATATATATATATATATATATATATATTCACTCAGTGTATACGTTATTTTATAGATACAGTTTATATATATATATATATATATATATATATATATATTCACTCTGTACGTTATTTTTATAGATACAGTTAATATATATAGAATATATATATATATATATATATATATATATATATATATATATATATATATAATTCCTCGTTTATACGTTATTTTTATAGATACGGTTAATTTAAGTAAATTAATAAATCCTCTGTTTTTAATTCAAAAGTAATAATTACAGTTACCGGCCTGAATGTTCAAGAAATTCTGTGAGTTATATATATATATATATATATATATATATATATATATATATATATATATATATATATGATTTTTATCAGTTTATATAATAATAAGTCCTTAGAAGTTGAAGTTGCATCTCCCGTTTGACTTTACATATTTTTTTTTACCTAATTTCTTCTTTTTTTTTTGCCTAATTTTTTCGCCTCATTTTTTGCCGCCTTCTCCTCATTTATCACCCATTTCCTTTGCCGGGTATTTTTATGGCCTTGTTCGTATCAAGCAGTTTACGGCTTAATAGCAAAACACCTGTCCCCGGACAGAAGAGTAAAGGGGTTCGAGGTCAGAGTGGTTGATATGACAAATGAATGGGTCATTAGCTCTGTGATAACGGGTTCCTGGGAAACACGGATTCTTTAATAGCGCAAAATAAGGAAACGGAATGAGGAAATGGTTGCATTCATTTCTCTCTTTCCCTTTTCAAGTATTTATAGGACATTGAGGATTTTGGCTGCTCGTCGCCGACAGAAGCCATCTTCAGAGAAGTGGAAGAAATGGTTAAATAGTAATTAAGTCTTCTGTACTGATTTTTATAAATCTAATGCAGACTGTTCATATCTTCCTCTTTTTCTCTCTCGCTATCAGTCTGTCTGAAAATTATTCATCTCTCTCTCTCTCTCTCTCTATCTATCTATCTATCTATCTAGCTAGCTAGCTAGCTAGCTATCTCGGTCATTTCATATCTATCTATCAATCTATCTATCTATCTATCTATCTATCTATCTATGTCTGTTTATTATCTATGTATCTATCTCTGTTCACATCTATCTATCTATCTTACCTAGTTCATTATCTATATATATATATATATATATATATATATATATATATATATATATATATATATTATATGTCATTCATTGTCTATGTATCTATCTCTGTTCACATCTATCTATCTATCTATGTTCATTATCTATGTATCTAACTCTGTTCACATCTATCTATCTATCTATCTATCTATCTATCTATCTATCTATCTATCTATCCATGTTCATTATCTATCTTACCCCTGTTCATTATCTACCCATCTAACTCTGTTCACATCTATCTATCTATCTATCTATCTATCTATCTATCTATCTATCTATCTATCTATCTATCTATCTATCTATCTTACCCTGTTCATTATCTATCTATCTATCTATCTATCTATCTATCTATCTATCTATCTCTGTTCATTATCTATGTATCTAACTCTGTTCACATCTATCTATCTATCTATCTATCTATCTATCTATCTATCTATCTATCTATCTTACCCTGTTCATTATCTATCTATCTATCTATCTATCTATCTATCTATCTATCTATCTATCTATCCCTGTTCATTATCTAAGTATCTATCTATCTATCAAAAATTCTCGATAGCTATCTTAAATTATTCATATATCAGAATGTTTATACAGACGTTTGCTAAAATTTATCTATCCTCTCTCTCTCTCTCTCTCTCTCTCTCTCTATCTATCTATCTATCTATCTTCGTTTTGTTGCGAATTGGACTTAGAAACCTGTGTGTGAGGCCATCTTCCTCGACAATTGTTTACATAATATTAAAGATATTGCTTTCAGAAATAACAGGAACATTAAAGTCTACTCCGGCGATATTAAAAAGAAATCACTTCTCTTCTCTTTTCCCTGTCTATCAATCTCTGCGACATTAACAATGTCTTTTTGCCTTTTTTTGTCGGATGACGACTTGAGATTCCGGGAGAGACATTACAGTCTTCGACGTCGTTAAATTTTTTTTTTTTTTTTTGCCTCCAACTTCATAAAGGAAGATGCGCAATGTTAAATGAGGAAATCTTTTATCGAATTTCCTTTTCAGTACGACAAAGACGCGCTTAAACCGGGGTAAAAAAGATTTAGCGACGCATCTAAAATATTTCTGTTTCCTTTGGGATAAAAAATTCCAAGAAAATATTAAAAAATGATTTGGGCAGTGCCAAATGAATAAAATATCATTCCATGAGGTGGGACTCTTGTCAACTAAAATTTTATATGTCCTGTCCCTTCTGACGTCGACGATCGTGGCTCTCCACAACTTCCTATCTTTTGTTGATTTTAACATTTTTTTTACTATCTTTCCCATCCCGCTATTGCCTTCACGATGTCTTGCGAGTGTCGAATTCTCCCAACCCTCTATCCTCATTATATTTTGGAAAAGTTAAAACTGCTTTCTTTTATTTCTGATTCTAGACATGTTTCTTTTTTGTTTCCATTTCCCATAAAATATCCTTATTAATCAAATGCTCTGTTCATGGTATTCTCAGCATCCTTCTGTTGAGCCACATCTCGGTTGTCTCAACTCGCTTCTTCCTCTGTGAAGAAATATCGATATTTTCCTGTCTCTTAATACTTTGCTTAGCATCTGGAAAGCATTTTTCGTTATTCCAGTCCGCCTTCGAGTTTCTGTTTATGTTATTGTCGGAATCCTTTTATAGAACAGTATCTTTGTTGCTTTCTCTTTATCTTTGGGGAAATTTCCCAGCAGTCATTGCTATAGACGAGCATATTATGCCCTGTTACAAAACAGCAAGATCTATCCTATCAAGAAAAACCTACCCTAGCAAGAAAGATTTACCCTAGCAAGAAAGACTTACCCTAGCAAGACCTACCGTACTGACCAGAGCGTTGGCGATCCAATTAGAGTGAAATTCTTTTGAACCATGTGGCCGTAGAACTTTGACAGTTATTTTTTGTCTTTGGGAAAGTTTAAATAAAAGGCCGGAAAAATGCACGAAGACCTTCAGTATGGCCGCGACTATAGAACAAAAAATACGGTTCGTTGTTCCCAGATTACTTAGTGAGACAGCCATCACCTGATGATGGGTAGTTGGACAAACGGTTGACAGCCATCCTCTCCGTCTCGCTTTCTCCAATAACCTGAAGTAACCAGAAAAAATGTCCTTTTATTCCCATTTTCATCAAAACTTCCTTATTGTTCACATGTTCAAGTCATGGTATTCTCGACATGTTTCTGTAGAAACACACCTCCATTATCTTACGTTTTCTTTTCATTGGATACTGTTGCCATATATGGTCTGGTGCCCCCGCTGTTCATCTCGAGGTCCTCTACAATATCCAGAGAGGAATATGCAATGTGATAGGTCTTAATCTGGCATCTCATCTACAGTCACTTTCTCACAGACATGATGTGGCTTCCCTCTGTCTTTTCTACAAATATCAAGACAATTGCTCTGACAAGCTATTTTCAATGGTACCCCAACTGCATGAATTTAAGCGTGCTACTAGTTTGGCATCTCCGTCCCACTCTTTCACTGTCAAAACAGTTAATTGTAATCGCCTCTTCTACTCCAACAGCTTCTTCTTTCACACTTCCCAACAGTGGAACTCCCTTCCTCTTACTTGCTTCCTTGATCGCTATAATCTTCAAATATTCAAATGTAATGTCAGTCGACATCTTCTAATGCCTTGATCCTGACCCCCGTCCTTCTCTATATCCTTTCCTCAAACACCCCCTCTTTACTCTTGTTCTCACTCTATGTAGCCCCTTGCAGGGTAGTGGCACTCCTGCCTTGCTTGGGGTTAAAATATGTAAGGAAATTGTTCAACATTCACTATCGTATTGGAGGATAGACCTAACATAGAAGATCAGTAGCTATTTCTTTGATTCTCATGAAAATTTCGCGTGTCTTGATACTTATTTTAGCTTTTTAAAGACATCTTTCTCTATTCCAATGTGTCACAATTTCCAAACTCTGTTAAAATACTTCCCAGATGTGTATTTTCCTGATTCTAACACTTTAGGTTCATCGTTCATTTTGGATTCTCTTTCTCGCTAATGAGTATATACATATACATGAGTATATATATAGTGATACATAGTCCTTTCTTCTTGCTTTCTGTTGTTACTACACTGTAAAAAGAGGTTCGGTGGGGTTGTCTGTGTGTGCCACCAACACAGTGCCATTTACGTATCTTATATTGTCAAAACTGTGCTCAACAATAATAAATCCCGGTAGGACTTCTAGTTCTCTCAGAATCGCCTCGTTGTATAGATTAAATAAATTTGATGAGAACACACATGGGTGTCTTATACCTGTTTTTATTTTTATCTACTTTCTCGATACATTTTCTGTCCATATGCAGGCGCTTTGTTTTACAGGTTTGTAATTTAGTATCAAGTCCTTCCCAAAGAAAAAGTCCCTGAAGGTAGTTGTTAACAGCCAGTCGTCCGAGGCCCAAACAGTGAGCGCAGACGTCCCCCACGGTACGGTTCTCGGCCCAGGTTTCTACTTTACATAAATGATCCGCCTATACGTATACGCAGATACTTTGTACGTATCTATGCTGATGATACAACAGTATCCCAAATTCGACATGGCCAGAGCCTGGTGGCAGATCTCTCGTCTGGCTGAGCTCTTGCAGCTCAATGTGGGAAAAACCGGATGGCCACATTCAACGTCTCAGCACCCAAATTAATGACGTTCCATCATCACCGAGCGGACACTGTCGTGCTAAATGGGCGCGCCAATTGGAACTCAAGCTCAACCGAGATCTCAAGTGGGACTCCTACACATGATCAATCGCTAAAGATACTGGGAAAATGGCCTCTTCCTTGTACCGCTCCAGTAAGGACCTCACTCCTCCAGCTGTCCTTTACCATTTCACAAGAGCCGAAAATAGGGTACTGCTCTCTACTGCTGGGGTACTGCAAGAGAGGCCGATTTTCAATTTCCAGTCCCAATAGGATCAAATAGCATTTCCGCATACTTGTGGGTGACAAATTAGTTTCCATCTTGAAACCACTCTTCCACGACGCATACCTCTCACTGTTCATCGTGAATATTGCAAAAAGATACCTTATTGTTGTGGTAGGATCCACCTAATTTGCATAGTGGAGTACCGACCATATAAATGTGGTTGGTACCGGGGAAGGAATCAAGAGATTCAATCCAGAGACTCTGCCCGACTGCGACTAAGTCAACCCATTCTCCAGGAACGGTCTTCCCAAGAATATACAAAAGACTATATGTAAATATTGTGTACAATTTCTTGTTTCAATACATTTTGTTCTAAGTACATTTTGTGTTGTATTATTATTCCATGCACTAGTCAAGTTTCAACACTTATCTCTGGAATAGAGATAGATATTGAAGAAGGCTGGTGCGTACAACGGCCGGATCATCCTGAATGTGGCAACAAAGATGGAGACAACAGTTCGAACGATGTAAATAGTGTAAATAGTTACAATACCTAATCTCAGAAATATAGCCAGATCCTGAAGAGCGCTGATGTGTACAACGGTCGAAACATCCTGAATGTGGAAATAAACATGACGACAACAGTCCGAACGATGTAAATAGTGTAAATAGTTGCAATACCTAATCTCAGGAATATAGACAGATCCTGAAGAAGGTTGGTGCGTATAACGGCTGAAACATCCTGAATGTGGAAATAAACATGAGCACAACAATCTGAACGATGTAAATAGTGTAAATAGTTACAATACCTCATCTCAGGAATATAGACAGATGCTGAAGAAAACCGCAGCATACGACGACCGAAACGTCGTAAATATGGCAAAAATCAAACTGTTTACATTCCATAGCCGCCGATCTAGAATTTTCACCCAATCCCGATATATGGAACTTTCTTCAGTACCTTGAGCCCCCATTGGAACTGAAGCTCAACCATGATCTCAAATTGAACTCCTACACAGGATACATCGCAAAAGATGCTGGAAAAATGGTCAGTTCCCTGTACCGCTCCAGTAAACACCCGACTCTTCCTTCTAGAGCCAGATAAGGCCGGAAATTGAGTACTGTAGCCATATATGGGCGGGAGCTTCCCTGTCTTCATTTTCCAGTCTCGATGGGACCCAAAAACGTCTCCTAGTCCTTGTGGGTGACAGATTATTTCCACTCTACAAACCCTTGAGATGAAACATCACAAGCCTTATACTGCTCTATCGCTATTTCCATGGAAAATGCTCATTCCTTGGTTCCATCAGTTCTAACCCTTCACGGCTACGACCCGCCATTTTACGCACATTATAGCGAACCACGACCATTCCCTTCGAGTTCCAATCGGACAACTTCCCGCGAAGAATTGCTCTGTGGAACCGACTCCCAAGACGGTGTTCAAGTCTAGTATTAAGCGATATCTTCTCCAAATATCCGACTAAACAGTGCCTCCTACTCTGTAACCCTCCACCCGCTAAAGGTTCTCAGTATCCTTCCTTAGAAACACGTTTCTGTTGCTTTAAGGCTCTTCTTCCCCTTCGTGGAGATTCTCCAGCATTCACTGACCTATAGGAGGACAGATATCACGTAACAGTTCAATACTCTTTTCTTTGTTTCTCTTGCTTCAAGTCTCTTCTTCATCTTTGAGGAGATTGTCCAGCATTCACTGACCTATAGGAGGACAGATATCACGTAACAGTTCAATACTCTTTTCTTTGTTTCTCTTGCTTCAAGTCTCTTCTTCATATTTGAGGAGATTGTCCAGCATTCACTGCCATATAGGAGGACAGATATCACGTAACAGTTCAGTACTCTTTTTCTTTGTTTCTCTTCCAAGTCTCTTCTTCATCTTTGAGGAGATTGTCCAGCATTCACTGCCATATAGGAGGACAGATATCACGTAACAGTTCAGTACTCTTTTCTTTTGTTTCTCTTGCTTCAAGTCTCTTCTTCAT